TGTGAGGGTGCAAGTATTTTGACCCAAATAAAATGAGTACTGATTATTATGGACCCTATTGTAAAACTTCCAAGTAAAGGGAACGTGCTCATTTATTCTGGACGCGATCGTAGGAGTGCAACTCTAAAAGCCTTGCACTCAGCCGACTGCCCATGCGCAGCTGTTGCATTCCAAAGCTTTTTATTTGCCAAAAATAAGCTTTCCTAATCTAATTAGATTTCCGGCTTAAGCAGATGATTTATTTCTGCTCAAGTCTTACTCAAGATCGGATGCACGTCGCTCTAAAGCACTTATAATATTTAATAAGGTCACGTGTTAGACCCAAAATATTTAATCGGAAGACATCGTCTCCATATAAAAACTGTGCGATTTATTCGAGGTGTCGGACTATTTTAAAACCCCCACCTAAGCGCGCCGCCGTGATTATTTTGATTGTTTTTATATTTTGGTGCAATTTGGCATTTACACCAGGTAAGCCTCGTGCAATGTCAATAATTTAATGCTTCTAACAAGCATCCCTTTACACCAGTGAAACTGCCTCGACATATATTGGTGGCTTTTGTTTTGGGCTACCAACGCATTTGCGAAATTTTGGTACGCTTACCTAGCCCAGATCGCAGCGTCGGCGCTAGGAACACGTGTGTTAAGGCCCAGCATGGGCAGGCGTTAGAGACACGCCCGGCTAGCTCAGTTGCTAGAGCATGAACTGATGCTAGAGCCCAACACCAGCTCTACTGAACCCCAGAATTTGACTCCAATGCGCGCACTATAAGCTGATCTTTCGTATTAAAACATGGCGCTTGCCAAATCCACCTCCAGTTCAAATGGTTTTAGATCTGACTGCACCTAATTGAAAGAGACACACAGACCACAATCTTTGTATCGATGGGATAAGTCATATTTGCAAATAATCTTAATTTAATAGGTTAAATCTAATTCTGTTTTCTTTTTACGTCTTATAAAGCCTCGGTGCGCTATGAGTGTATTGTTGCAAACATAATATGCCAATTTGTACCAACAGCCAATCATCGTCAACAGGCCTGCTGACATCGATGGACTCTGAATGTTGTAAGTACGGCACAGTCGAAAATATTAAGTGTAAAAGGTCATAAATTGAGTGCAACAATAGCATAGCAATCCGCTAGAAAACGTTTGTTTACTTAAAACGCCTATAATTGAATGCGGCGTACATTTTGTTAGTATACTTAACTATTCACCTTTATTCTTGTATATATCACTTCCTAATTATAAGTAATTTTGTAAAAACACTTCTTATTTTCCTTATCTTACTTAAACTTCCTATCTTAATCAATATGAATTGTTTCTAAAGATGAATTTTCTTGAATTATATGCGGTTATTTTTTAAGAAAACATGATATAATTTAATTTCCCTATGGGCACCTAAAGTATCTCACACCTCAATTGCAAAAAGGGTAGGATCCTATAATTTCTCCGATCCTACAGGTAGGGAGGGTATAGAAGAAGAACACTTTCATCTTGGTTCTTCAAATACCTAAAGTAGACGCATCTCAAGGTAATACAAGTGGCTTTTTGGATTCATTCCTTATCTGTCTACGAATTTTTATTTAGATGACGGCCATGGAGTAAGCAGCACCAAAGAACCCCCCCATTAGCCCTGAGCACGGCTGGACCCCTATAGTAGACAGAGGTGTTGCCGAGACCGCATGATGTCGTGCACGTTACATAAGATAAAATGGCGCCCAACGTGTGGGGCCCGAGGAAGAAGAAATTTTAGACTTCATGTCTAAACACCCCGCGCTTCCCAAAATTCCCAAAATTCCTTTTCTCCTTAAACCACGCATAATCATCCAATATTCTGTTATTAGTTTCCGACCGTATATTTTGAATCTAGCTAGGAGAAGCTGACTTTAAGGTTATTGCCGTAGTCAGACCAGCAGTAAATTAATACGAGATTATTGTAAGTTTATGTCTGCTGTTACGTTAAATATCTAATTGCTTAGGACTATTAGATCTGATTGGTAGTCGAATCTTTTCCAAGTAAAAAGTATTTAAGTATTATATTTGATTCTAAATAGAATTGAGATTGTTCAAGCTGGATATTTTCGGCATGTCCCTCTTCAATTTGGAATGTAATTCTATTTGATTTTTAAGTAGTTTCAGTATTTTCCGTTGAGATGCCCTGCTTTATGCATGTATACATAAATTGTTGTGTGAGTGCTTATGGATAAGTCCCATCTAATACATTTTTCGCAACTATCTTTTATCTATCGATACATCGAGATTGTTATACTCTTATAAGAAAAAAAATTTTTTGTTCATTAATTCATAGTCATGGCTGTACGTCGTAGTACCGAGGACTTAGTCAGCTTATCAGGCGTACCGAACGAGTCTGTTATATGTACCATTTGTAATGACACAAGTTCAGAAATAGGTTTCACCGAAACCGTCTGCAAGCATAAGTTTCATAGGAACTGTCTATCAGAGTGGTTGAGTAATAACAACTCATGCCCAATTTGTAGGCAGCCTTGTACGCTCGCACAGAGCTCCGATAATCTCTCGGCACAACCTAGATCAAATTTTGGAGGTGTCGTTGGGAGACCTCGTGCTCCAGTAGGTAACACTCAGTCAAGTGCCGCCCCTAGAACTCGGCAGGCAACGAGAGCACAAAATAGAAATACTCCAAGTAGAGGAAATATGCAGCCATCATCTAGTTCGCGCATAAGGCATGCACCAGGTGTTCAGGCTTCCGAGACTAATACCATATCCGAAGACCGTATTCAACAAATAATTGCTAATTCTTTAGAAAACTATCGGCTAAATATTACTGCGTCAGTAACTGACCAGATCAGCGCCGCAGTACGGAATTTGTCTTTATCTGGCCTTTCAAGAGAAGCCCGAGAAGAGCCACAACTTGAATGGGAAAATGATATTCATTTAGGCGGTCCGCGTTCAGTCATTGGACACGACCATAGTCAAAGAAATAGAACGGCCAATGTTCGAGCCACTACACAGGAATTTACGATTGATCGTCCCGATAGAATTTCAAATGTTATTTCTAATTGGAAATTAAAATTCTCGGGATCTGCAAATGACATCCCAATCGAAGATTTTATATACAGAGTAAATTGTTTGACTTCACAAGATTTCGATGGAAACTTTGAGTTATTGTACCAGTTTGCAAATCTATTGTTTTCCGGACCTGCTCTTTCTTTCTTTTGGAGAGTTCATAGAGAGAGATATCAAGATCAGCGAACTGACCGAGATATTAAAAATGCAATGAGGTGTCGGAAGCAAGGCAATAATGAGAGCTTTGACGAATTCCTCGATGCAATGTTAGCAATTGCCGATTCATTAAGAGATCCCATGTTAGAAAGAGACATAATTATAGAAGTTAGACATAACTTAAAGCCAGAATTAAAACATGAATTATTGCACGTAAATACACCAGACTTAGCCACCTTACGTAAGGAATGTCATCGCCACGAAGAATTCTATCGTCACCTCCGAACGAAACCATATCCCAAGCGATTTATTAATTCGATCAATCATGTAGAGAATTTTGATGAAACACCAGAACAAGATTTTGAAATTGTCGATCAGGTCTGCGCGATACACCAAGCAAATAAGTTGAAATGTTGGAACTGTGACGAGCAAGGTCATAGATACCATGATTGTTTAAAACCTCGTCGTGTTTTCTGCTACGGGTGTGGCTTACTTGATACTTATAAGCCCAACTGTGTTAAATGTACACTGATATCGGAAAACTCAGCACAGGATGTCCACCGTGTTTCGATAGGGGATGTCCGACGTTAGCCTTGGGTTCAAATACAGTTTCATCTCAAGCATTACCAGACATACCATATAATACACCAGACGTAACACGTAATTTTCCATTCAAACCATATCATATACGATTACAAGAATTTAGGCAACGGAAAGCTGAGATTTTCAATGCTGTTCCAAAGCATCGTTCTTCATTACGCATGAGTAAATTTTGGCTCAATAGACACCGTTTAAAACAATTTAAAATATCTTCCATTGTATATAAAAGTAACGATATACGCCCTTTTACTAGCATAGAGATATTTGGCACCTCGTATTTAGCACTTTTAGATAGTGGGGCCAACAAAAGCGTAATTGGTGGAACACTGGCGGCACAAGTTATCTCCAAACAAATGCAATTTAATTATATAAAAGGCGTAGTACATACAACAGACGGCCACAAGCAAAGCGTTGCTGGAACGATAATAATACCCTTGACGTATAACTCAGTTCAAGAAGACTTTGAATTTCTAGTAGTACCGTCCATTCAACAGAATGTGATTTGTGGAATGGATTTCTGGAAAATATTTCACATTTCTATTTTACCAACTTGTTCTATAAGCGAAATTAATGTGGAAATAAACGAAGATTCGAACCAATTATTACTATCCGATGTTCAGAGACTTAAATTACAATCTGTCATTAATTACTTTCCCTCATCTGAACGTGATGGATTAGGGGAGACCTCATTGGTTGAGCATACAATTGACACGGCAGATGCCAAACCTATTAAGCAAAGGTTTTACCCTTTATCTCCGGCTAAGGAGAAACTTTTGTGTGAAGAAGTTGACCGCATGATCAATTTAGGTGTTGTGGAAGAAGCTCCGTCATCGCCGTGGTCCTCTCCAGTCACACTCGTCGTCAAGCCAGGAAAAGTTAGGTTCTGTCTTGATGCTCGTAAGGTTAATGCAGTAACCATCAAGGATGCATATCCAATGCCAATTCTAGAGGGTTTGCTTAGTAGACTGCGTCCTGTGCATTGCATTTCAAAAATCGATCTAAAAGATGCATTTTGGCAAATTCGATTAGATCAGGATTCTCGTGCAAAAACAGCTTTTACTATTCCGAATCGACCCCTGTATCAGTTTAAACGAATGCCTTTCGGCCTCACAAACGCTCCACAAACCATGTGTAGGTTGATGGATCAGGTTATACCATATCAGTTAAAATCACATGTATTAGTATATCTTGATGATTTATTGATAATGTCATCTAATTTTGAAGAGCACTTAGAGCATCTTGCTACAGTATCCACACAACTGCGCAAAGCTGGACTTACCATAAACGTTAGTAAGCGCAAGTTTTGTTTAAATAAAGTTGATTATCTTGGATATGTTGTTGGCGAAGGTACACTTCAAATTAACCCTGATAAGATTCAAGCCATTGAAGAATTTCCAGCGCCTAAGACGCGCAAACAACTTAGAAGATTCCTAGGAATTACTGGTTGGTACCAGCGATTCATTTCCCAGTATTCATCAGTAATTTTCCCGCTCACGGAATTGCTGCGTGGCAAATCGTTCGAATGGAATGAGCAAGCTCAAACGGCTTTTGTCGATATCAAGCATAGACTATGCACAGCTCCATTTTTAGTCCATCCGAATTATGAAAAAGAATTTATTGTACAATGTGATGCCTCAATGTATGGCGTGGGTGCGGTTTTAGCTCAACTGGACGAAACAGGATGCGAGCGACCTATCGCATATATGTCGAAGAAATTAAATAAAGCTCAACGTAACTATACTGTTACTGAGCTTGAATGTTTAGCTGTAGTATTAGCTATAAAGAAATTCCGTATGTATGTTGAAGGACACTCTTTCAAAGTCGTCACTGATCATTCAAGCCTTCGTTGGCTTATGAACCAAGCTGACTTGAGTGGAAGATTGGCGAGATGGGCAATTAAATTGCAGGGATTCAATTTCAGCATCGAGCATCGTAAAGGAAGCGAAAATGTAGTAGCAGATGCGTTATCTCGTTCATTCGAAGAAAGTAACGAAATTGCCGCAGTAGAGATTGAACTCTTTCCAGAAATTGATTTAGATTCTGAAGCTTTTTAATCCACCGAATACAGTAAGCTTAAAGATAACTATTTGTCATCTAATCTACCAGACTTTCGAGTAATTGATAATTACATCTATCGGCGTAGCAGTTTTCATGAAAGAAGTGCAGATAAAGAGGAAAGTTGGAAATTGTTTGTTCCAGAAGCATTGCGTAATAACGTGATAAGCTCCGCTCATGATCAACCATCGTCAGGACATTGTGGTATTGCCAAATGCCTTGAACGTATTCGACGTAGATTTTATTGGCCAAAAATGGTTAGTGATGTGCGGGACTATATAGGCAAGTGTGATATATGTAGAACATCCAAACACCCGACATGCGCACTTAAACCACCCATGGGAAATCAAGTGTCGAGCGAAAGACCCTTTCAGCGATTATATATTGATTTCATTGGTCCATTTCCTCGAACTAAAAGTGGAAAAGTCGGAATTTTTATTGTTCTTGACCATTTTTCAAAGTTTACCTTTCTTAAG